ATCTCAGTCTCTTTCTGTCTTGTCTCACTTTAATTGCTAGGAGTGTCTGTCTTTATGAAGCTATTCCCTAAGGTGTGTCACGGTGCACAAATATATATGTGTGTGTGTGTGTGTGTGTGTGTGTGTGTGTGTGTGTGTGTGTGTGTGTGTGTGTGTGTGTGTGTGTGTGTGTGTGCGTGCGTATGCACGAGTGTGTGTTAGGAAACAGAGGGAAATTCTAAATAGAAAGCTGTTCCGACAGCAAGCTTGTAATTCTTGTAGTAAAAAAATTAAAACAAAAACAAATACTCTGTGAACAATACCATGCACACCCACACACATGCATGAGGATGCACACACACACACACACACACACACGCACACACACATACACAGACAAACACACAAACCCAGTGAGATATTAGACTAAACACAAACATGCCTCTGTCACCACCAGAGACAGCTGCACAGCTGTGAGCCCTCCTCTTGTTGCGTAGAGGCGTTTTAGCTGTTTAAGCCATTCACACACGGCTAAACCGAACCATAACACAAATCAAATGTATCTAATCCACGACAAACCTTAAACAACCGCCAGCCTAACTAATATAAACCAAACTGACACAAAACCCTACCAGGCTTTGCTCAGGCAAACCACAGCCAAACTGACTCAGTCCAAACAAATCGAATGCAAACGTGTGTAATCCAAGTTAATCTAGTCAGAATGAGCAAAGCCAGAACACAACTCATTTTCAGAGGTCTGCTTCAGTTGTATCGTGTGTAGTTCTGTTGGTGGCTAAAAACAAGGATGCAGGCAACGGTTCAAACATACACATGGGGAAAGCCAATGAAGGGTATCTTGCCATGGTGCTGGACAGCAACCAGTCACCAGAAAAGCTTTAAAGCTCCTTGGCATAAATACTGCAAATGTCTGGTATTCAGCCTGTGGGGTGGTAAACCATTTTTTAAAATATATTTGTAATTTCTGTTTTGGTGATGTTAGTAGAAAATCTGTAACAGGTCTATAATCAGATCTAGCAAAGGCCATGTCCTTAAATCCCCCATGATTTTGACACTCATAAAGAGCCCTAATAGAACAATCTTCAGTCTCCCATACGCAGAATCCTCAGACAGAAGCAGATGGGAAGACTGTGTTTTTATATGTTATGAATTTTCCATCAAAGGTTGACTATGTGGTGAAAACCAAACCTCCTATCTGTGTCAGCACTGTCTACCCATGTTTGAGTCAGCGGTGAATAAAGATGCCATCCTCAGCCTTTACCTGGAGTGTTGAGGAGTCTGGACATGCGACAGCTGTAGGCGATTTGCTGCTCACAGTATTCTGCACTGGTGGTGATGGCTGTCACCTGAAAACACAAGCAGGGATATGTATTTTCATTTTATCTTCTTCGACCAGACAGGCCCGTTTTATGTAAGAACAAATTACTGAGCTGTGAAACGAAAGAAAGCACACTCTAAAGTTGTTTTAATGTTTGCCTTCTGTGACTCCGAGAAGCTGAAAATGGAATAAGCGGCCACTACAAATTATGAAATAACGTAATTTGATGGATATGCTTCTCAAACCATGTAATGTCATAGTCATCCTGCAGTCTCTTCCCATTGGGGTTCCTTTAAACTTCACACACACAGTTTTCTTTTGACTGTGAGTGACAACTGCAATCTGTAATCACTCACCAGAAAGATTAAGATATTGACTCTTGAGTGTGAGAAGAGATTTAGGTAGTCTGAACTGTGTGTGGGTGAAGCACAGCAGGCAGGTGATGAGGGGATGACGATGGACACTTTTTATGTTAGTATATCGCAGTATGTTTGAAAGACTGGCTGAATACGTGAAGTGCTGAAGCTCTGGCTTATACTGCGATCATAAAGTTAGTAACTTTGTCAAAACAGAAGAAAAACTGTGCTGCAGCATAAATGCTCACTGTGTTCTAAACCCAGGACCTCTGCTGTCAGTGCTTTGAAGCACCAGCTGCAGGAACAGCAGAGGCCGAGCGATAACAATCCTCTTAAAGAGGAACAAAATCCGCATTTGGAGGTTGGAAGTTACAGCTCTGTCAGTCAGAAGACCGTGGTTTGTCTCCCATTTTGGGGCTCAGTGTGTTTGTGTGACTTTGTTTTCACTTTCAATTTTTGCTTCGGTTTGTTTAGGAACCAAAAAAGTTTTAGAAGACAATTTGGCTTCATTTAAAGTATGACCCTTCACAGTATTAACCTGGCACATTGATATGATACTAACCCAGTCTTTTGACTGTCGAAAAGTAACAAGTTGGGAGCAGCTTTGAAAAAATATAAATAATACTCTGAGCTAAGAAATGCTTGAAATGTTACTGTAGTGAAAGACCATCCTGTGTGTGTGAGATCATTACAAACACCATGCAGAAATTTCATTTCATGTCATTAGGTGGATCTGTTCAACTGCTGGCTAATGCAAACATCTAATCAGCCAGTCACATGGCAGCATCTCAGTGCATTTAGGTATGACATGATCAAGATGGCCTGCCGCCTTGTTGTTGGCAGAGGTCATCTTTGAAGTGACCACACTGTGTATCACTGCTGTCAAGACAGGAACTGGAAACTGAGGCTACAATTCTCATGGGCTCAGGAGTAGAGATGGACGATCCGATATTACGTATCGGTATCGGTCCCATACTAAGCTGTTGTTACAATTTCTTTAATATTACTTTGTACACCAGGATCTTTTTCTACGTAGCTGACGCTGGTAACTGGGGTGGATCTAGCAAAGTTTAGCCAGGGGGGCAGGTAGGGCATGAACAGGGAAAAGGGGGCACAAAGACATACTTTTCTTTCTTATTCTCATTTAAAATGTCTAGCTTTTAATAAATAATTATCCGAATCTTACACCCATAGTTTTAATCTGATGTAAAATGTATAGAAGTCCATTACTGTACATAGTAATTATTAAGTCTAATATACCCTAGTAAAGCTATAGTACTTTTTCCTTTGGGAAGGTACCATCTGTGCAGTCTGCAGTTCTGTTGAAGAAAGATGTTGAATCTATTTAATTATTCTTGAAAAATAATTGATTTCTGTGCATTTTTTTTCACACTGCATCAAATTAAAGTTAAGCATCATGAGGTGGTTCCCTATTTTACAACCCTATTAGTTTGGTTGCTTACTCTTTAAAATACCAGAATAGGGAGGATGGTGTAGGTTAAGTTTACTAGATTGATCAGAGAGACTGATATTGCTGAACTATGAAATATTTTCGGTGCATTGTATTTTTTGCATAGAATAGCTTTAGCGTTTGTTTTTTTTAACTTGAGTTTGAACTTATACAAAAAGCAGCAAGATATTAAAAAAACAGTTTTATTGATTAAAAAACACACTATATCGGATTCATATCGGTATCGGCAGATATCCAAATTTATGATATCGGTATCGGACATAAAAAAGTGGTATCGTGCCATCTCTACTCAGGAGTTGAACAAAAGAAAGCTGGGAAAACATTGCCTGCTGTGATGATTCTCAATTTCTGCTGTGACAGAAATTTTGACGGTAGTGCCAGAATGAACGACATAAAAGCAACTGCCTTGCAGTTAGGCTAGTAGTGGTATGATGATGCATGTTTTCTTGTCTAGTTTTGGGGTCTTAAGTACGTATGGTTGCCTAAGTGCTGCAGTGTCTAAGTGCCTATCTGAGTATTGTTGCTGACCATGCCTATGCCTGTCTTCTAATGGCTGCTTCTAACAGTAAAACACACTATGTTACATAGCTCAAATCATCTCAATCTGGTGTCTGGTTCACTGTGCTCTAATGGCCTTCACAGATCTCAGTACAATAGAGCACCTTTGGGGTGTGATTGAAAGGGAAATTCACATCATGGATGTGCAGCCAAAATGCAGCAGCTTTGTGATGCTATCATGTCGACATGGACCAAAATCTCGGGAGAATGTTTCCAGCAACTTGTTAAATCTAAGACATGAAGAAATTAAGACAGTTTTTAAGGAAAATGGGGGTCGAATGTGACACTGGGATAGTATAACCAATGAAGTGTCCTTTTAGTTTTCAATTATCTTGCACTAATCACTGTATCTACTGATATGTAAAAACTCAAGCTATCCCAAATTCATGCTGCCTGTATGTTTACTTAACCAGAAATTACAGAGGCTGGGGAACACATTAGCTCTGGGAAAACTTCAATTTGCATACAACTCGAGGCACAGCTCCACAAGCACATTTAGTATTTGCCAAGAAAAAAATGATAAATGATTAGTTGTAATGATTGAACTATTCTGCACATATTAATTTAATAAATACAGTATTGTGCCATGGGAAAAGAGACGTGGCTTTATAACTGCTTCACTACTTTTTAATTCACGCACTGCATGCATAATGCTAATGCCAATTCAAGTCCATGTGACTTAGGCGTAGTCGGAAAAATAAAGGGCTTTTTTTTCAGCAAACAATAAGAAGACTGCTATCACAGAAGAAAATGCAGCTGCTTTCTCACAAGCAGAGGTCTCAGAGAAAACAGCCCAAAAATGAAACCCTATGGTCCTGTCAGCAACAGCAGAGTAACGTGTGCCGTGCACCATATTAGGCTTGCTTTTAAAGGGTGGGATAAAATCATCTAAAACAAAACAGATGTTAGCAGTAGTCAGTAAAAAATCCTCACGGTTCTCATCGTTCATAATATGTACTAAGGGAGAAGCCCAGAGCCTGAGGGCTACAATTCAAACAAATCCAAACCCTTTTTTCCATCTCATAATATATTCCTTTTCATTTAAAAAAAAAAAGATTTTTTGGCTTCTAAACCTAAGTATAATACTACTTTTGCCTTATTTGCAGACAAAACACTTTCTATGCTTAACGTGTTCAAGTGCATTACCTGGTCCATTGAGGCACTGTAGTTGACCTGTAACACGGTCCGTCTGTTTCTGCTGGAGCCTGTGACTATGGTTTTGGGAGGCAGGTTGTTCATCACTGTGGTCCATACTTTGTCCTCTATGAAAATAGACAAAACACATTCAAAATGAAAACAAGCCATAGCGCAATTTAAACCTAGGAAACGTATTTGATCGTTCGTTTAATTTTACACATGCAATCGATTCGCACATGCAGACATAGCAACACATGAGTTGTGCAGTTTAGCTGTCATGGCAGTGAAGTTCTTTCCGTGTAATCTAAGTTACAGCTATGAGACTCCGGGATTTAATAGACACTTCTGTCCTGTTATAGTACGAACCAGTCACTCACACAGCTCCTTGTTCATTCACACTGTCAGTCAGGGAATGTGTGTGTGTGTGGTTCAGGTTTCTGAGGTGTGTGTGTGCGGGAGAGAGAGAGAGAGAGAGAGAGAGAGCGTGAAACTCTTAACATTTCAGAGGTGTGTGTGAGTGCGCTATTCAGCGTGACTAAGGGGCCAGCCAGTGGAGTGCAGTGACATTTCATTAAAAGTCTCGCCTTTGCTCTGCCTCCATGCTCTGCTGTTCCAGACTATCTACTTATTCCACTGTGTGTGTGTGTGTGTGTTCATGGAAGTGTGCAGGTGTGTGTGACAGAAGAAGTGTCACACAGACCCTTAGAGCACTCCTAGAGTTGCATAACAGCTTCGTTGCGTATATGTTTGTGGCGTGTGTTTTGATGTGCATGTGCATCTCAGTATCTGTGTTTGCTGCTGCTTCAGAAGTAAATGTCAGTTACTGTGAACATGTTGCCATGGAAACCACAGATATAACAGGTTAAGGCTGCAGAGTTTATTTCCTTTCACAGGTCACTGGGGCTAGACAGTATGGAAGGCACACACGCAAACACACACTGGAGACACACACCTGTCATGTTGCAGTTAACTTTGAAGGGGCCAAGAGGTCCGCTGCCATCGGGGTCGATCCAGTAGGCATCGGAGGACTTGCCCAAATGCTTGTAGGCCTCACACGAAGGCTCATAGATCGCTGGAGCAGAGCAAGGGTGAAGAAAAATGAGAGCAAACATGAGCAGTTGAAGGAGGATGGGTATTAAAGGAAAAACACAAAAAAAAAAAAACAAGCGCACTATACATCCCCTCCCCAAAATTAGGCTTACAATACAAGTCTGTGTTTGACACCTACTCAGTGTGACACCACGTCATGTTGAGATATACACTGACACTGGGGAACATCCATATTTAAAGGAGCACAACTGTTGAATGGATGACAGATGAGGAAACACTTTTTTCCTATTTATAAATCTTAACCAATGAGGCAAAAAAAATAAAAAATAAAAATAAAAAATGGCCGTGGGTGGTGGCAGTGTTAAGGCCTGGCTTTCCAGCAAAATCAGCAGTTGATTCCCCGTAAACAGAAAAGCGTTCATAGATTGGCATTTGGATTTTTCTTTTTGCCCTGAGGCTGGTGCGAGAGAAGAGGCTACAGTAAGCCACTCAAAAATATACTATAGACAAATGCTAGAGTAACATTTCTGTTTTGTTATCTAATTTAGCAACTAAAGCTTCCAAATCCACGATGGACCTAAAATAGCAACTCAGTTTCCAAAGCTGCTTTCTTTTTCCCCCCCCCTATTTTTATTTTCCCCTTCGTCCAAAAGGCAATTTCATATGGTTGCCTCGCTCACCACATTGTCTCTATTCAGTGCCTGTCAAGGAGCGGCGTTTTCTCTCTAACACTCGAGCAATCTAGCTGACAACATATTGATGTTGTGTTTGTGTTGACGTACACACAGACAGACAGGGACGCGGACAGCAGGAAGAATTACACTTCAAAGCGAATTGCGAGCGTGACTTGAAGTGAAACTTTCTTGATTGAAGTGTGACTCCTCACAGGCTTAACAATGAGTTTAAAAAGAAAAAGAGCCTGCAATATGTTCATAGTTCTTTGTTAGTTTGCCTGCTATCAACTCCTTATTTCTGTCTGCAGTTTCTTTATTTTTCAGCCTTTTCTTTTCTATATGTTCTCCGACTACTTCATTGATCTCAGTTTTGCAGGGTGGTTTTCTGATTAGAGGAGACTCTTTTTGTTAACCACAACCAGTGTTGGGAGGATGTAACTGTACTGAGGAATCTCAAAGGATCAAGAGAAGTGTTGAGGTTGATGTTTCTGTTCTGGCTCAAAGCCATTGGCAAAGGCTGTAATACAATGGTAGTTTAATAGCCAGCATTTCTCCTAGGACTTCTTCAGTGTTATGTACCACAACAGAAAGATTCAATGTGGAACAGAGAAATTCAGAGAAATTTCTCCAGAGGGAACTTAATTAGAATATTTAGTAAGTCAATACAAAAATTATGTCTGCAAATATTTACCATCAGAGTGGAATACTAGCAGGATTTGGAAAGGAGCTTATGGCAGTATCAACATAAAAGCTGTAAATGCTGGTAACCCCTGTGCTTATTTTTTAATGACAAAAAAATAAAGTCAAAGTATTTAATTGGCATGAACTAAAATGCAGTTTTCAAAACTGTATACTCTTTTTTTTTAGTTATTAACCATTCAGTTATTGTTTTTATCTCAGAACATGGTTAAAACATATTTATTCTTCCATTAATTGACTATTATATCTAATCACTAAAGGATGGGACACTACTGCACACTCCTGGGTCTTTAATTGGTGACATGTTTTAAATCATTTCATGGCGTCAAATTACACCATTGTTTTGTTTCACTCTTTATTTATGCTGCCATCGTAGTCCAGAGGTTGAGAAGTGTAATTCTGGTGGTCATAAGGTTTGCCCTGTACCCATGTGTGCTGTCTGAAGGTACCTCAGCTTCTTTGTGCATGTTGGGTTAATAAGGTGCTTAAATGTAGAATAAAGCACTGTATGAATGCATGCTTAAATGTGGTTGTTACTCTAAAGCACTTTGAGTGGTCAGTAAGACTGAAAAAGCACTATATAAATGCCTGTCCATTCCATTTCATCAACTTTGCCACCGACAAGCTCCACCAGAGAAACTATTTAGAGGTCCGTGACAAAGAAGCGGCTCTTTAAGGAAGTGAAAAGAGTTGCTCATTCACTCTCTCTCCCCACACTTTACTGGCAGGTCTCCAGATTTGCCTCACACCTTTATAGCCGGAAAGCAGAGACCTTCATTTCTAGGTTACTACTGCCTTAGGCTGTCTCTTATTACTCCTAACTAATCCTTGACAAATTTTTTCAGAGGGCATGCGTGAAGTCAGCACCTTGTTTACTCATTTGTTTCTTTCATGTATCATCACCAGCAGCTGTTATTTTGGCACATATGCAGCACAATGCATCGCAGAGCACTATGTGGTTGCATAGCGTTTCCATATAGCCCCAGAAACTCAGAAGTGTATGTGATACAGTAACTATATAGTAAATAGGGATGCAATTTTGGACACAGATTCACACATATAGAGAGATGCAGTCGTACAAAGACATTTCTCGATGTGCATCTTGCTTCATCTGTTTCTGTATTTTTTATGATCTATTCATTATTACCTACTTAGACCAACTCCGCAGTGCCTAAATTTGAAAAATGTCTTTTTCACTCACTTTATTCCTCTGGCTTTCTCACACTTCCATTATATTAAATCTGCTCTTTTAGATTTATTTCCAGAACTTTACTTATCTGCCTTCTCTTAAAAGAGAACAGTCTTTGAGGCTTATGGGAGGAGGGATGGCATTCTCAAATTGTTAAGCATTTTAAAAAAAAATCCCGCTTTGCTCTCTCCGACTCTGTTCTCTTTGTGTTGTGGGGCTTTTTGGGTCGTATTCCTTTTTCTCTGTCGGAACAAAACACACAGTGTCGTCAGAAGAGCCTGATTCCCATGAATACTTCAAAAGTTCATCTGTCCCTCTAATGAGAATTGTGGCTTTGAGCTGAAAAAAACCCAACAAACAGCTTAATCACTCAAATTCGAATGGAGGAAGGCTAAATCAAACACACACACGCACGCACACACACACACACACACACACACACACACACACACACACACACACACACACACAC